GTGGTTCCATATAAATTTTAACATTCTTTGTTCTAGTTCTGTGAACACTTCTACTGGCATTTTGAAAGGGATTGCATTAAATCTGTAAGTTGCTTTGGGTCATATGGACATTTTAACAATATTAATTTCTTCAATCTATGAGTATAACATTCCTGTCCATATATTTGTGCATCATCTTCAAATTTTGTTAACCAATGTTGGTGTATAATTGTTTGTAATAGTCTATTATAATTCTTTGTATTTCTGTGGTGTCAGTTGCAGCTTTTCCTCTTTCATTTCTGATTTTATTTTGAGCCCTTCTCTTTTTTTCTTGATGATTCTGCCTAAAGGTTTATCTATTTTATCTTTAAAACTTGAATTTACATCTTGTTTGCCTTTTCATAAAAATAGCTTTTATATTTATTGATCCTATTGTTGTTGTTGTGTCTATTTCATTTATTTCCCCTTTGATCTTTATTATTTCCTTTCTTCTATGAACTTAGGGCTTTGTTCTTCTTTTTCTAGTTCCTTTAGGTACAACATTAGATTGCTTGTTGGGGGATTTTTTTGTTTGTTTCTTGAGATAGGCCTGTATTGCTATGAACATCCCTTTTAGAATTGCTTTTGCTACATCCCATAGATTTTGGAAAGTTCTGTTTCCATTTTATTTTTTGTTGCAAGATTTTTCTTATTTGTTCTTTAATTTATTCATCAATCCATTGGTTGTTCATTCAGTAACATGTTGTTTAGTCTCAATATGTTTGTATTTTTGTCCAGTTTTAATCTTGTGATTGATTTCTAGTTTCATACTGTTGTGGTTGAAAAGATGCTTGATATGATTTCAATTTTCTTGAATTTAGTTTAAGACTTGTTTTGTGGACTAACATGATCTGTCTTGAAGAATGTTCCATGTGCAGTTGAAAAGAATGTGTATTCTGCATTTTTGGATGTAATGTTCTATCTATATCTATTAAATGCACCTCATGTTATGTATCATTTAAAGCCAATGTTTCCCTATTGGTCTTCTGTCTGGATGATCTATCCATTCATGTAAAGGGGGTATTAAAGTCCATGACTATTATTGCAATACTGTCAATTTCTCCCTATATGTCTGTTAATATTTGCTTTATATATTTAGGTGTTTCTATGTTAGGTATATAAATATTTATGAATATTATATCTTCTCCCTGGATCAGCCCCTTATCATGATGCAATGTCTTTTGTTGCAATCTTTGTTTGAAAGTCTATTTTTTATTATATGAATATTGCTAAAGCAGTTTCTTTTCATTTCTGATTGCACGAAATATCTTTTCCATCTCTTCACTTTTAGTTTCTGTTTGTTTTTAGATCTGAAGTGAATGTCTTGTAAGTGGCATATAAAGGGGTCTTTGTTTTATTATCAATTCAGCCACTTTATGTCTTTTGATTGGAGCATTTAGTCCATTTACATTTAAATTAATTATTGATAGGTATTGCTATTTTGTTAATTGTTTTTGTAGTTTTCTGTTCTTTCCTTCTTCTCTTAGTCTTTTGCCTTATGATTGATGATTTTCTTTAATGTTCTCTTTATTTTGGTGTACCTACTGTAGGTTTTTTGTTTGTGTTTACCATGAGCTTCATATATATCAACCTATATATGTAGCAGTTTATTTAAAGCTGATTGTCAATTAAGTTAGATCATATTATAAAAGCACTACATTTTAACTCCCTTCCTTTATGTTTTATGCTTTTGATGTCATATATTACATCTTTTTTGTTTGTGCATCCTACAACAGCTTATTGTAGTTATAATTATTTTCTTACTTTTGTCTTTTAACCCATTCATACTGTTTACCTGTGAGATTTTAAAAAACATATTACCTTATTTGTTCTCCTCCTCCTCCTCCTCCTCCTCCTCCTCCTCCTCCTTCGTCGTCGTCATCATCATCATCTTTGTCTTCGTCTTCTTCTTTTTGTTAATCCTCACCCAAGGATATTTTTTCCATTGACTTTTAGAGAGAATGGAAGGGAGGAAGGGAGAGAAAGGAACATCGATGTAAAATAGGCAAATCGATTGGTTGCCTCCTGCTTCTGCCACAACTGGGGCCAGGGATTGAACCTGCGACCCAGGCACGTGCCTACAACCTTTGGGTGCATGGGCCGACACTCTAACCATTAAGCCAAACTGACCAGGGCTATTTATATTCTTTTATTTTCCACTTACAGAAGACCCTTTAACATTTCTTTTAAGGAATTTTTATTGGTGATGAACTCCTTCATTTTTTGTTCATCTGGGGAACTCAATCTCTCCTTCAATTCTACTTGATAACCTTTCCGGATAAAGTATTCTTAGTTGTAACTTTTTCTGTTTCAGTGCTATAAATATACCCTGCCACACCTGACTTGTGGGCAAAGATTTTGCTGAAAACTCGGTTGATTGACTTATTGGGTTTACCTTGTCTTTAACTAGGTGTTGTGCTTCTGCTGCCTTTAACATTCTCTCCTTAACTTTTGCCATTTAAATTATAATATGTCTTGGTGTGGTTCTCTTTGGGTTCTTCTCGTTTGGGACCCATGTGCTTCCTGGACCCGGATGTTTGTTTCCTTTCCCAGGTTATGGAGCTTTCCGCCATTATTTCTTCATATAAGTTTACTGCCCTTCTATCTCTTTTCCTTCGGGACCCCTATACTGAAAATGTTAGTATGCTTGATGTTGTCCTAAAGGTCCCTTAAACTAGTGTCATTTTTTAAAACTTCTTTTCATTTTGCTGTTCTAAGTGGGTGATTTCCACTGTTCTATCTGTGTGTTCTTCTATATCACCTACACTAATGTGCTCTTCTGTATCATCTAATCTGCTATTGATTCCCTCCAACATATATATGTTTTCTTTTGTTTCAGTTACTGTATTTTACAACTCTGATTCATTCTTTATCTTTTATGTCTTTGAAGAAGTTCTCATTGTGTTCCTCTATTCTTTTCTTGCATTCGGTAAGTATATTGCCATTACTTTGTACTCTTTATCAGGTGAATGCCTTATGTTTGTTTCATTAAGGTTTCTTGTGGGGTTTTATCTTGTTCTTTTGTTTGGAACATATTCCTTTGTCTCCTCATTTAGTTTGACTTTATGGGTTTGTTTCTATGAATGAAGCAAAACAGCTACCTCTCCCAGTCCTGAAGGAATAAGCTGTATAGGAGTGACCCCTACGTAGACCCTTTGTGCAAGGCAGGTTTGATAAGCCAACTGGAGCTAGAGTAGATGGCGGTTAGGGAGTCCAAGGGTGCTCCGCACCGGGACTGCCTTGGTGAGATGGCCAGATTTGCAGCAGGCATTGTCAGGGGGTTACAGGTTGCTCCACACGAGGGCCAGCCTGACGGGATGGCTGGATGTGGAGTGGACACAGGCCTAGGGGTCCTGAGACATGCCAACTGGGCCACGTTTGGGGAAACTGCTGAACCTGGTGAGGCCAGGGGCATTGGATGCACTGGAGCAGCCTTGGCAAGCCAGCTCGAGTTCCTGGACATTGTTCCTGTTCATGCTATCAAGGTGGTAAGGGAACATAAAACATGGTATTTGCCAGCACTTCTGATCCTGGAGAGAATTTCAACAGTTCCCCATTCATTTAGCAGTTCATTTAGCAGTAGGGTTAGTAAAATGATAGCCTTTATGTAGAGTCTAGGTACCCTTTTAACTGATGTTTTTATGTTGTGCCCCAGGGCTGGTGAGTCTGTGCATGGGCCCCTCAGTGATTTCCCTCCCCACTGGAAAACTCAACATGGGGGTAACTTTCCCATTGTTACCTTGTCTCCATCTCTCATACCCTTCCCTATGTGAGCCCTCTATCATTTGTTGTGCAGAAGCTGTTCAATGAGTCTTCAGTTGTTCTTCAGAAGGAATTGCTTTATATGTAGGTATACATTTGTCGTGTCCTGCGGAGGAGGGTCTTCCTATGCCACCAACTTGGATTCTGCCCAAGATTTTTTTCTTTACATTTAGTTTTCAGTAGTTTGATTATAATATGTCTGGATATGGTTTTCTTTTAGTTTATTCTGTTTTACTTGCACTGAACTTTTTGAATCTTCAAGCCAATGTCTTTCACCAAATTTGGAAGGTTTATTGGTTCTGTTTATTGTTATAAATGTTAGATTTTAGGTAGAGTCTCATTACCCCCATAAGTTCTATTCAGTTTTTTCCCATCTTTGTTCTCTTTCTCTTCATACTGGTAATTTCTATCAATCTCTCTCCAAGTTCACTGTCTCTTTTCTCTGTCATCTTCATTCTGCTATTGAACTCATCTAGTAGAACGTATGTTTAATACAATTCTCGTTTTAAAGAATATTCATTCTTTTGCTAAGAACTTTTGTCTTTCCATTTATTTTATTTTATTTATTTTTTAATTGACTTTTCAGAGAGAAAGAAAGGGGCGGGGGAGATAGAAATATCGATGTGAGAGAGAAACATCAACTGGCCGCCTCCTGCACACCTCTCACTGGGGATCAAACCGGCAAACCCGGCATGTGCCCCAACTGGGAATGGAACTGGGACCTCTCTGACCATGGGACAATGGTCAGTCCACTGAGCCACACCAGCCAGGCCTTTCAATTTATTTTATTTCATGTGTGTTTATTATTATTTCATGGAGCTTATTTTAGTATGTGCTTTAAAGTATGTCTTATCATTTCAACACCTGTGTCACCTAGGGTTGGCATCTGTTCATTATCTTTCTCCCTGATAATTAGTCACATTTTTCTTGTCCTTTGCCTATTAAGTAATTTTGGATTTTATTCTTAAGATTTGGAATATTAAATTTTGTAGACATGAGTCCTGTCCGAATTTTCTAACAGATGTTATTATTATTATGCTTATCATTACTATTTTTATCACTATTACTGTTTTATCAGGTAACCAGCCCAGTAATCTTCAGACTGAAATTTTTATAATCACTCTGTAGACAGCAGGCAAGACATCGAACTGTGCAGCATCCTCAAACCTGCCACCAAGTGAGCAGATCCTTTGTATACCCTAGAGACTCTGGCCAACACTATGGCGGATTCCAGCTCACCTCGACACTGCTGTGACACTTGCGTCAATTTTTCGCGCACTCAAAGGGGATTTCTCCTGCTGGCTGAGATGATATTGTGCTTGGTGATTCTGATTGCTTTCAGAGGCTCAAAAATAGAATTCTTCTCCCTGTCAGGGATTGAGTTTAACTTTGCTGTTCTGGACTTTATGATCTGCGTATATGGCCTGCACAAGAAGTCAACATGCCTTAACTGGTCTGTGGTTGAATTCATACGATCATTTTCAGCAGCACTCCTCTACCTGATCCTCTCCATTCCTGACCTTGCTGCGCGAGGAAACAGCTCCATAATTATCCAAGGGATAGTGGGCCTACTTGCTACATTCCTCTTTGGCTATGATGCCTTTTATTCTAACCCCTTTAGGCAGTAAAGACATACAGCAACCTTTATTGACCCTGCAAATGGCCTGATAAATGAATCGCTTTCATTTCTCTCTGCAACCTGCAAAAAACTGTTCCATTGAATTAACTCCTTGCACCCCTGTAACATTTCCAGCCAACACAGAGATACCTATTGAGGTAAAAATGTCTTTATTGAAAGACTTTGTCTTCCAGCCTGCCAATCGACCCTTCTGGATGTGGCCACCTTTATGGGTATGCCTACGTCCCCTTTGTGCAGTATCCAAAAGGAGACACTAATTCTGCCTAGACTATACTGCAACCTAAGCCAAAAAACAAATGCTGATGGCACCTCAGATTTCACAATCCAGGGTCCAGTTTATAATCCCACTCGAAATAACCTCCTCAGTGTGGGCGGTGGTTCAATGAAGAAATTAATAAATAATTAACAGATTGTTAGAACAAAAAAATAACTTTCTGTGGGCAGTTGTGCCCATTTCAGTTCACTTTTTATTTATTTATTTATTTTTTATCCTCACCCGAGGATATTTTTCCATTTTTTGTACAGATAGAGTGGGAGGGAGAGAGAGAGAAACATCGACGTGAAGGGACACATCGAGTGGCTGCCACCCGCACGACCAACCAGGGCCAGGGACAAACTGCAACCGAAGCACGTGCCCCTAGCGGGAACGAACCCGGGTCTCTCCGGACCGCAGGCCGACGCTCTAACCGCTGAGCCAAACTGGCCAGGGCTCAGTTCACTTTTTAAACCCTATTGCTGCTGTTTTAGGTCTGTTCAACACATACATCTCTAAGAGGTTAAGTCTCAGACTGGTTGGTGGTTTAATACTTAGTTCAAGTCTCAAACTTCTTAAAAATATGTTTTCATTGGTTTTAGGGAGAGAGGAAGGGAGAGAGAAAGGGATAAAAATATCGATGTGAGAGAGAAACATCAGTCCATCAATCGGCTGCCTCCTGCCCGCCCCCTACTAAAGATCGAGCTTGAAACCAAGGCATGTGCCCTGACTGGGAATCTAACCAGCGAACTCTCGGTGCATGCATGGGCTGATACTCAAACACTGAGCCACACTGGCAGTGCAAGTCTCAGAACTTTTGCTATGCTAATTCAGTCTGTCCCATGAATATGCAACTCAAGAGTAAACTGGGGATTTGTCTCATTGCTTACACAGTATTGAGACATCTTCTCCAGTTCACTTCTCTCCAGGATTCCTCTGCCTCATAGAGTACCTATTTCTCAGTTTTTCTGTGCAAAAATATGAGGTTTCTTTTAGAGGTTTAACTGCCTGTATAACTGCTGGTTAGCAGTTGTGCACTTGGGGTCTATTCTTGGGGCAAAGTCATAAGAGAAAAGAAGGGAAATAATGGAAAACTCATTCTCAAATGTGTTGTTGCTTCTTTAAGCTTTGACTCCAGTCAACAACTGGCCTGATTTTATTTACTTTTAACAGTCCTCAGGTAATTGCTTTTGTATATTTTGCCCAGAGATTTTAGTTGTGATCAGGAGGAGAGGCCCTAGCAGATATACTGTATATTGATCACAATTGAAAGACATGTCTTAACATTTGATGTAAGAAAAATTTTCTAAGGATGTTTATAAAGATATGAAAAATTAACAGAATTGAAGACAGAGGTCTTAGAGATCACGCAGTCTAATGGAACTCCCTCAGTAGTTGTCTAGGGTAGGACTGGGTAAGAGTGCTAAGTATAGACAACAATCAAGAGTATCCTTAAAATAACTGCCTGAAGTCAGAACTGAGACATTCCAGTTATGCCAAGATATCTTGATGCCCTTTCTCATAGTCTTCTTCAGCCTTGCACAGATACTCTTTATTGATGTCTAGAATTGTGATTTAGAAATTATGCTACTCCAAGGTCTAGGCCATTCATAGAGCACTTTCAGGGCAAAAGTACTGGAACGTGGCTGGGCTCTCTGGCACTACTCCCTCAATTAGAGCAGTCCACTTTTGTTGTTTACATTGGACTGTATCATAAGATCTCTTAACAATTAAGATATTCATCGGTTAAAAAAAAATGTCATAGAAAGCTACCAGTTTACAAAAGGAGCTTGAGATTGATCAGCAATAGCCATATATCATGTGTTTTCCAACTCTTTTCCTCTGGTGCATGTAAAATAGCTGAGATACTATATAGATAGGAAATACTGAAGACTTTTAAGGGATTGTTTGTGGCCCTAGGGAAGGTTCATTGCAGTAAAAGTATTTCTGTTCCCCAAATTTAAAGTGCTTGACAGATTACTAGAAAATGCAATGTTAGCGGTCATCAAAGATTTCAAACCAAGATGATAATGACCTGTTTTACCCCTTTGGAGAATATTGGCCTTTAATGAGGCTCCAGAGAATGGCAAGTACTTAATAGTTAAGGTATCAGGCTAGTGGGGGACGAGACTCTTCCTTGGGTGACTTATAACCCCCTGGTTATACAAAGTAAGTGAAACAATCTTGGACCCACACCTTAGGGTTAGGATGATGGCTCAGTTATAATAGCACTTAACTGTTCTTCTCCCCACCTTCATTGCATATTCATGAATTAGTACAAAAAGATGAAAATGCACAACAACTTTGAAATAAAGGATAAAAGGAGATTATAAAAGAGATTTACAGAAGTATTTCTATTATAAATTATCAGTAGTGTAATTAAGAAACAGAATTGATACCTGAGGCATACAGCATCTTTTGAATCAAGAAAGCATAGCTGGAAAATAGGTAGCAAGAACCGTTTCTCACCTGCCCCCGTTCCTGGTTCCCCTCATGACTGCTCATAGTTTGGGGGACACAGGGCTTCTCTAATAAGAAAGCAAGGCAGCCCGGCCAGTATTGCTCAGTTGGTTGAGTGTTATCCCATGCACCAAGAGGTCACTGGTCGATTCCTGGTCAGGGCACATGCCCAGGTTCTGGGCCCCCAGTTGTGGGGCATGCAGATGGCAGCCAATTAATGTTTCTCTCTCACTGATGTTCCTCTCTCTCTCTCTCTTCCTTTCTCTCTCTCTCTAAAAATCAATAAAAGGATGGAAGGAAGGAAGGAAGGAAGGAAGGAAGGAAAAGGAAGGAAGGAAGGAAGGAAGGAAGGAAGGAAGGAAGGAAGGAAGGAAGGAAGGAAGGAAGGGAGGGAAAGAAAGAAGGAAGAAAGAAAGAAAGAAAGAAAGAAAGAAAGAAAGAAAGAAAGAAAGAAAGAAAGAAAGAAAGAAAAAAGAAAGCCAGCCATAGCCTTCACTGTATGGAAGCAGATTTCTGAATGGTCAGGGTGCACCCTCCTGTCATTAACAGTACCTATTAACCAAGTCAGTTTCTGCATTCCCAGTATACAATAGGCTAGGATAAAAAGAATGGAGATGGTGAGATATGTAGTCCTCTTAAAGGTCAAAACTTCAGATGAGGTAGAAATAGAAAAATCCTAAAATTGGTAAAAGCCAGGGGAAGGGTTGTCATGCACTCAGTGTCATTAAAGAAGAGTAAATATGGTTAAATTTTCTAGGTTTAAACATCCTCTTTTAAATAGAGAATCAGGAAGTTACTATATTTCATTTCAAAGGAACTACACAAGATAAATGCCTGTTAAGTAATGAAAACTGGATAAAGGTCTGTGCATATCAAATCATACAGTATTAATGAAGTAGAGTTCAGCCCTGGCTGGTTTGGTTCAGTGGTTAGAGCACCGGCCTGTGGACCAAAGAGTTGCAGGTTTGATTTCTGTCAAGGGCACGTAACTTAGCTGTGGTTCTGTCCCTGTTCCTAGTTGGAGTCATGTGGGAGCCAACCAATCTATGTATCTCTCTCACATTGATGTTTCTCCCTCTCTGTCTCTCCTTCCACCCCTGCCCCTCTCCCTCACACTCTATCTGAATACAAATAGAAAAATATCCTCAGGTGAGGATTAAAAAAAAAATGAGAGAGTTCATCAGTTCCTAAGTTAGATGGGGATGGAACTAAATAGCAAAACTCTGAACCTTAACTCTTTTCAAACACTGGGCCTAGATATTTTCCTCTCAACCCAAAGTTGAAAAACTAGGGAGGGGAGGAGGATGTCAGACCTGTGGAATTAATTTCTGCAATATAAAACAAGGAAAACAATCTCCTAACAACTTTAAAAAATTCTTTATCTAATACTGATTTACTACAAGAACAGGAAGAAATTTTAGAAAGATTGTTTTTTTTTTTTTAATGTACATTTCTGCCCAGATCTGTTGATTAAGCACCATCCCATGGACTAAGAGGGCCTGGTTCTACTCCCAGTCAGGACACATGCCTGGGTTGTGAGCTTGATCCCCAGTAGGGGGTGTGCGGGAAACAGCTGGTTGATATTTCTTTCTCACATTGATGTTTTTCTCTATCTTTCTCCCATCCTCTCTCTCTAAAAAAACAAAGTCAGTGAAAATAAGAAATCTGTTTCCATTGACAGAAGAATAGACAAACAAAATGTGGTATAAATGTACAGTGAAATGTTATTTAGCCTTTAAAAAGAATAAATTCTTACACATGCTACAACATGGATGACTTGTAGAATTATGCTAAGTGAAATAAGCCAGACACAAAAGGACAAGTATTGTATGATTCTACTTATATGACATATCTAAAATTTATAGACACAAAAAGTAGAGTAGTGGTTTCCAGGGGCTGAGCACAACAGGGAATTTGGTAAGTTGGTGTTCAGTGGGTACAGAAGTTGAAAAGTTCTGGAGATAGATGGTGGTAACAGTTGCAGTACAACATAAGTATTCTTAATGATACTTTATTGCATACCTAAAATGGTTAAAATGGTAAATTTATGTGATATATATTTTATTATAAAAAATGCACCCAAAATATATCAAAATCAAAGAAATCAGTCACAAAAGAGTACATAATGTGTGACTCCATTTATGCAAAATTCTAAAACACATAGAACTAATCTATGGTAACAGAAACCAGAATACTGATTAACCTTAATGAAGTTAAGATGGCAGTGTAGGTAAACGTGGTACTAACCTCCTCCCACAACCACATCAAAATTACAG